AAAATTCATCTAATATATCATAATAAACAATATAATTAACACAGAAACACGATATATACTCTAGAATGAATAAAATAGTCCATAATATGGTGGCAGAGGCAGCGGTAGACACTGTGTTCCACCACCGCTGCCTCTGCCACCATATTTCCTGTCCAACTTTGACTATATAGTATCTTCCCCTGCTTTTATTGTAAGAGAAAATGGAGTATTTTTTGAGGCTAACTGCAGTAATCACTAGTTTTCTAAGGAAAACGCTGAAAATATCGTATATAAACACACAATTATAATACACTACAGAATGTAAAGAAATAATAAACTGTTTATATAAAGTGTATATGTACTTACACACTTGGAGCAAAGATGGAGGCAGAGGTTGAGTGTGGGGGAGGGTGAGTGTGGGGGAGGGTGAGTGTGGGGGAGGGTGAGTGTGGGGGAGGGTGAGTGTGGGGAGGGTGAGTGTGGGGGAGGTTGTGTGGGGGGTAGGTGAGTGTGGGGGAGGGTGAGTGTGGGGGAGGGTGAGTGTGGGGAGGGTGAGTGTGGGGAGGGTGAGTGTGGGGGAGAGTGGTGAGTGTGGGGAGGGTGAGTGTGGGGGAGGGTGAGTGTGGGGGAGGGTGAGTGTGAGGGAGGGTGGGAGTGTGAGGGAGGGTGGTGTGGGGGGGGGGTTGTGTGGGGAGGGTTGAGTGTGGGGGGGGGTGAGTGTGGGGAGGGTGAGTGTGGGGGGAGGGTGAGTGTGGGAGGGTGAGTGGGGGGGAGGGTGAGTGTGGGGGAGGGTGATTTGTGGGGGAGGGTGAGTGTGGGGGAGGGTGAGTGTGGGGGAGGGTGTGGTGGGGGAGGGTGTGGTGGGGGGGGAGGGGGGTGTGGGGGAGGTTGTGTGGGGGGAGGGTGAGTGTGGGGGAGGGGAGTGTGGGGGAGGGTGAGTGTGGGGGAGGTGATTGGGGTGGGGGAGGGTGAGTGTGGGGGGGTGAGTGTGGGGGAGGGTGAGTGTAGGGGAGGGTGAGTGTAGGGGGAGGGTGAGTGTGGGGAGGTTGTGTGGGGGGGGGTGAGTGTGGGGAGGGTGAGTGTGGGGGAGGGTGAGTGTGGGGGAGGGTGAGTGTGGGGGAGGTGGGTGTGGGGGAGGGTGAGTGTGGGGAGGGTGAGTGTAGGGGAGGGTGAGTGTAGGGGAGGTTGTGTGGGGGAGGGTGAGTGTGGGGAGGGTGAGTGTAGGGGAGGGTGAGTGTAGGGGAGGGTGAGTGTAGGGGAGGGTGAGTGTAGGGGAGGTTGACAGTGGGAGGTTCACAGTGCGGTGTATGATGTTAGTGGCCCTGTAAACCTTCAACAACAACACTGTTTTGTTTCATCGCTGAACTTAACTCATACAATTTGTTTTATAACATAACTGATACAATTTGTTTTGTTAAATCACTGAACATAACTGATACTATTTGTTTTAACTTTTCACTTCTTTCATTTGTTCTTACTTTTCACTGCCTCATGCCTTCTCACAGATGATACCCTCAGTCACGGTACCTCCTACGAGCTGTTTCTCTCTCAACCACGTCAGCAGCAGCTTCTCCATCTTTTCATGGACAGAGGTCCGCAGCTTGGACATTATTTTAACACCCTTGGCTGGTGCTATAGCCTTTATCGACTCCTTCTGCTTTAGTATCGTACATATAGTAGATGTACAGTGGTCCCTCAATAATCGTCCGGCCTGAAAGTCATCCATTTCGGAAATAGTCCTGTTTTTTCGTCAAAATATTGGCTCGGAAATGGTCCAGTAACTCGCTAATAGTCCTTCGTCCCGGACGTGTACTCACGGTCTGAGCGGCCTCGGCCTTTCCTTCCCAGCCAGTGTGCCATTGTTTACCAGTGAGCGACGGTCCCCTCACGTGCTCCAGTGAAATATTTCATATTTCATTTATTTTAGTGCTTGCAAGTTATTTAAGTGCTAAATAAGCTACCATGGCTCCAAATAAAGCTCCTAGTGCCAAGCCTTTGGTAAAAAAGGTGAGAAATACGATTGAATTTAAGAAAAACATCAATGAACAATATGATAGTGGTGTACGTGTGGGCTAACTGGCCAGGATGTATAACAAATCCCGTACAACCATATCTTCCATCATAGCCAAGAAAAAGAAAATCAAGGACGCTGTTGTTGCAAAGGGGGTAAATATGCTGACAAAAATGAGATCACCAGTACTCGAAGATGTTGAGAAGTTATTATTGGTGTGGATAAATGAGAAACAATTAGCAGGAGACAGTCTTATGACGTCGCTTATTTGTGAAAAGGCTAGGCAGTTGCATGACGATTTGGTAAAGAAATTGCCTGCAACTAGTGATGTGAGTAATTTAAGGCCAGCAAAGGCTGGTTTGAGAGATTTAAGAAGCGTACTGGCATACACAGTGTGGTAAGGCATGGTGAGGCTGCCAGTTCGGACCACAAGGTGGCTGAAAAATATGTGCATGAATTCCAGGAGTACATAGAGGCTGAAGGACTGAAACCTGAACAAGTGTTCAGTTGTGACGAAACAGGCCTCTTTTGGAAGAAAATGCCCAAAAAGGACCTTCATTACACAAGAGGAAAAGGCAATGCCAGGACACAAGCCTATGAAAGACAGGCTGATGCTAATGTTCTGTGCTAATGCTAGTGGGGATTTCAAAGTGAAGCCATTACTAGTGTACCATTCTGAAAATCCCAGAGTGTACAGGAAAAACAATGTTATGAAGAGTAAATTGTGTGTGTTTTGGAAATCTAATAGTAAGGCATGGGTCATGAGGGAAATTTTTGTAGAGTGGTTCAATGAAGTGTTTGGCCCTAGTGTGAAGAATTACCTCCTGGAAAAGAAATTGGATCTCAAGTGCCTCCTAGTAATGGATAATGTACCTGCTCATCCTCCAAACTTGGATGACCTAATTCTGAAAGAGTTTGGGTTCGTCACAGTAAAGTTCTTGCCCCCGAATACCACTCCTCTCCTCCAGCCCATGGACCAGCAGGTCATTGCAAACTTTAAAAAACTCTACACCAAAGCAACATTTGAAAGGTGCTTGAATGTGACCTCAGACACTCACTTGACCCTACAAGATTTTTGGAAAGAACATTTCAGTATTCTCCATTGCGTAAGCCTTATAGGTAAGGCTTGGGAGGGAGCGACTACCAGGACTTTGAACTCTGCTTGGAGAAAATTGTGGCCAGATTGTGTCCACAAGAGGGATTTTGAAGGGTTTGGGGCTGACCCTGATGAGCCTATGTCAGTTGTTAAATCCATTGTGGCACTGGGGACTTCCATGGGGTTGGATGTGAGTTTGGAGGATGTGGAAGAGTTGGTGGAGGACCACAACAGAGCTAACCACTGAGGAGCTGCAAGAGCTTCAGCAGGAACAGCAACAGATGGCAGCTCTGAATCTTGCTGCAGAGGAGGAGGAAGAGAGATGGAGGAAGGTGCCTTCTTCAGAAATTAAGGAGATTTTTGAAATGTGGGGTAGGATGGAAAGATTTATGGAGAAACATCACCCAGAGAAGGATGTTGCAAGCCATATCGGCAACTTGTACAGTGACAGAGTCTTGGCCCATTTTAGGGAAGTTTTAAAGAGATGCCAGAAACAGAGCTCTCTGGACAGTTTTTTTGTGAGACAGGACTCCAGTGACTCACAAGGTGGTCCTAGTGGCATTAAGAAACAGAGAAGAGAAGTAACCCCAGAAAAGCAATTGGTACCCGAGGTGTTGATGGAAGGGGATTCCCCTTCCAAACAGTAATTCATCCAATCAGTCTCATTCTCCAGTCTTCCATACACAAAGAAGAATCGCCAATAAAGGTAAGTGTTATTCTGTTAATGTTTAATTCACCATGTGCCATTGTATTGTTTATGTACTACATCTATATTTCATGTAAAAAATTTTTTTGTTTTAAATACTTCTGGGTGTCACGAACGGATTAATTGAATTTACATTATTTCTTGTGGGGAAAATTGATTTGTAAATCGTCCATTTCGATAATAGTCCCACTTCCAGGAATGGATTATGGACGATTATTGAGGGACCACTGTACTGTGCTGGTATTGTCTGGATAAATGAACAACTCATGCACCTTGCTTATGTTTATCTATGGTTTCATGCTTTAATTCCATGGAAATCATCATCTTTTTCTTCTCAGCACTGTCCTTTGCACTTATTTTCTTAGGACCAATGGTTAGAAAAGCGAAATTTGGCCAAATGACTGTCAAAAATGTAAAAAAAAGCAGGAGAGAACTGTTCCCACAGTGATGTAAACATGTGTACTGCTTCCCGGATGTTTTGAAACCAGGTGCGCTAACTAGTGGCAGCATTCATAATTATTACGTACGTATTATGTACATAATACATACGTAATTGTAATAATACGTAATTATAATTATTATTATTGATAATTTAGGGAACTGAAGCTCTATTGTTATTATAATTATTATTACTATTATTATTATTAATTTAGGGAACTAGAGCACATATCCAATTCTCTAGATCAAGAGCCCCTCACCAGCATCAAGGAACCTTGGCGCTGGTGAGGGGCTTCAGTTCACTAAATTATTATCAATAATAATAATAATAATAATAATAATAATAATAATAATAATCACTAACTATAGAGCTTCAGTTCCCTAAATTAGTAATAATAATACATTATTATAACAATGAGAGCATTTTTGACAGTCATTTGGCCAAATTTTCTGACCATGAGTCCTAAGAAAGTACTAAGTGTAAAGGACAGTGCTGAGAAGAAAAAGATGATGATTTCTATGGAATTAAAGCATGAAATCATAGATAAACAAGAGAGGTGTCCAGGTTTTGGGTTGAGGGGGAAGTGGGGGGGGTTGGGGAGCTGGCTCGTAACTCAAATGTTGGCTCGTAACTCAGAGCAAAGAATCAACCTATCGATGGCTCATATCTCAAAAAACTCGTACGCTGGGACATTTGTAAGTTAAGGTTCCACTGTATGTACATCTAGGAAAAATAGGGGAGGAAAAGTAGTTAACATATACATACTTACGTATTTTTCCGATGAGCTTAAATCTTTTCTATTTGATAAATAAATCAATTCTTTTATTTGATCAATAACCATTTCATATCCTTGTTTCATGACAGTGTTTTCTAATTGAATCTTGATCACCCATGGACACCAATGACGATGTTCTTCCAGGGGATGAAAATACCGTTTCTCTTCAAGCTGTCAAAAAAAAAAAAGAAAAAAGAAAGGAAAAAATTTTGTAATCAAAATGTGAAAAGAGCAAAGTGTGAAATAAGCAAATGTATTAAAGATCACTGATAAACTTAAACAACAGTTACTCAATTTTTTTTTTCAAATGAACTGGCTATATTCCACCAAGGCAGGGTGACCTAAAAAGAAAAATGAAAATTTTTCTTTTTAAATCTAGTAATTTATACAGAAGAGGTTACCAGCCCCTTGCTTCCAGCATTTTAGTTGCCTCTTACGACACACATGGCTTACGGCGGAAGGATTCTTATTCACTTCCCCATGGAGATGAATGGAAATAAATAAGAACAAGAACTATTAAGAAAACAGAACACTCAGATGGGTGTGCTGTGTATACATGTACCTGCATGTGTAGTGTGATCTAAGTGTAAGTAGAAGTAACAAGGGGTGGAGATATTTGCTGTTTGGATAGACATCTGAAATGTCACATCTACAAACCTCTGGCAAGCGAGTAGTAATGTGAATGACGGTGAAAGTCTTTCTTTTTTGGGTCACCCTGCCTCAGTGTGAGATGACCAGCAATGCTACCAATGCACCAAATCAAAAGATACATAAAATTCTAAATGGATATAAAAAATTATTTGAGATTCATCAATATAAGCTTTTCCTTACCATGCAAATCTTTAATAAAAAGGAAATTTCTGCCTTCCTTTTCACAGCTAAATATACATTTTGAAAGGAAATAAACATTTATAACCCATTTTACAGAAATCTTGTATGTAAAATGTCAGAAATGTTAAGAGGCAACAATTATTGCCCTTCTCCTATTTTATGACTTTAGCTAGTGTGAATCTTTTCTAATTAATTTAACTTTTTTGAACATGAAAGAAAATAGTTACAAGTTTGCCAATGACTACCTGTTACTAGTGGGTACCAGAAATATTAGGTAGAAGTTTTCAAGAAGGAAGTAGACTAGTATCTCCAAAAAGTGCCAGTTTCCCTGAATCCCTTCACTAAATATTACCCTGCTCACACTCCAACAGCTAATTATATTATTATTATTATTATATTAACTGATAAGTTGAAGACTGAGACACTTTGGCAACATATGGGAATCTCAATAAAGAATCCCATATGTTGCAAAAGTGTCTCAATTTTCAGCATTGCAGTAAACTTACTGGTCCATGCAATATGATCACAGTAAACAGGTGATATCATAATATGCAGAACAACCATTGTGAAAAGAATATTGAACTTGCAAGTGCAAAGTTCACTATTCTTTTCACAGTGGTTGTTCAGCTTACTGGTCCATGCTAAGCAGGTCTATCTCCACTTCAATCCTTCTTACTCGTATATTTGTCCAACCAGTTTTTAAAGATACCCAAGATTATGATGTGCGGGTGGGTGTGAGTTGGACCCGACTAGCCTGTGCTACTAGGTCAGATGTCATGCTGCTCCTTTAACCCTTTGAGGGTCGACAGGCCCTCTCCGAAACTCGTTCTCAGGGTCGGCCAAATTTAAAAAAAAAAAAAATTATTTTCTCTTATGAAAAGATAGAGAATCTTGTCCCGATCATAATGACACCAAAAGTTTGAAATTTGATAGAAAACTTACGGAATTATGCTCTCGCAAAGTTAGCGGTCTCGGCGATGTTTACGCATCGGCGATTTTGCCCACTTTGAGACCCATTTTCGGCCAATTTCACTGTACTAGTCGACAAAAAACATGAATATTCCGCTAGAACTCCATTTTTTCTATCGAATGAGTGCAAGAAACCACCCATTTATAAATTCAACTATCCAGTACATTGGTCAGAATTTAGCAATTTTGCCAATTTCACACAAATTTCAAAAGATGCCAATTTCCAAATAGTGTCCAGAATAAACAAGAAAGACATTCCTGGCACTAAAATGACATTTCCTCTAGTCATTAGTCACGTCTCAAGGCCCCTCTTATATTCTTTTTCTTTCCACTTTGAATTTTTATTCTCACAAAAAATATAAGATATACTGTTATGCAGACTACTGCATTAGTGTAAAAAATGATATAAATATTATTGGTGCACTTGTGAAAGAATATTAGACTCACCAGTTGACGTGTATTGCATGCTCGGCACGATTTGTTTACTTTTGAAGTTTGGTAAAAATCGAACATTTCTGCTACTTTGAGCTCAATTTCAAGGCACCTTTCATTGTAAAACCAGTCAAAATCATCTCAATTTCTGTAATATGTCTTCCATTCTATAAAATGAGACCAAGAAAACTAGAATACAACAATAAATACCATACGAAAATACACTGCAAAGTCGCTGATTTATTAAAAAAAAAACGGTAAAATTTTTTTTTTTCTCATTATGCACTGTGTGCTGCAGGATTTTTTTTAGACTGTGCACACTGACCACATAGACCCATTCTTTCATATGAAGGCCTACCAGCTTTCTCCCAATAGATTTGAGGCCGCTAGAATTTATGAGTACTAGTACGTCAAAAACCCCTACGCGTAAGACGTACTAGTACGACGAAAACCCTCAAAGGGTTAAGTGAAAGTGACCTGACCTGACTAGGTTAAGGCATTGACTTGGGCTGAGGGGAGAATTGGACCTGCTTCACATGGGGCCAGTAGGCCTGCTGCAGTGTTCCTTCTTTCTTATGTTCTTTTCTAGCCACAGCATCCTTGTGCCCTCAAGACCACTGTAAAAATATTTTTATGACATGTACACAAACCTTAAATAAGAAACAAGAAGAAAAAGTAGTGGGAGAAGTGGAGTGATGGAGGAGCAGTGGCAGGGAGTGATGGAGGAGACCTGGGAGGAAGGGAGCAAAACTAGCTTGCTGCATACGTTTATCACAAACTACTTGTTTAGTAACCAAACTGATGCATCATGATTGGATGATGATGATTGATGATGAAGATATTGCTACTGCTGCTGTTATTGCTGCTGCTATTGCAGCTATTGCTACTGCTGCTGCTATTGCAGCTATTGCTACTGCTGCTATTACTGCTATTGCAGCTATTGCTACTGCTATTACTGCTGCTATTGCAGCTGCTATTGCTGCTGCTGCTGCTGTTATTACTGCTGCTATTGCAGCTGCTATTGCTACTGCTGCTACTACTGCTGCTGCCATTGCTACTGTTGCTGCTACTATTGCTATTTCTGTTGGCTCTGCTATTGTTGCTATTACTGCTGTTGCTATTACTTCTGCTGCTTTTATTTCTGTTGCTGCTATTACTTCTGTTGCTGTTATTGCTACTGCTCCTACTATTGCTGCTGCTATTACAGCTATTGCTGCTGCCATTGCTATGGTTGCAACTGCTACTGCTATTGCTGATGCTCCTACAACTATTGCTGCTGCCTCTGCTATTGCTGATGCTATTGCTTCTGTTGTTGCTATTACTTCTGTTGCTATTACTCCTGCTGCTACTGTTGCTGCTGCCATTACTTCTGCTGCTGCTGTTGCTATTACCTCTGCTGCTATTACTTCTGCTGCTGCAGCTATTACTGTTGCTGTGGCTATTACTTCTGGTGCTGGTGCTATTACTGCTGCTGGTGCTATTACTGCTGCTGGTGCTAGTATTACTGCTGCTGGTGCTAGTATTACTGCTGCTGGTGCTAGTATTACTGCTGCTAGTGCTACTATTACTGCAGCTGGTGCTACTATTACTGCTGCTGGTGCTACTATTACTGCTGCTAGTATTACTGCTGCTGGTGCTAGTATTACTGCTTGTTACAAGTATGGCCATACCGGTTATATTTTACATTATTATAATAAAAAAGAAGCGCTAAGCCACAAGGGCTATACACTGCTGCAGGGTAGGGAAGGAAGCGAGGGTATTGGGCGGCAGAAGGGGGGAGGGATGATTAGTAGGTTACAGAAAACAGCGGGGCAGGGGATAGTGCGGGGGTAGAGGGTAGCAAGAGATTGAGGTAGAAAGTGCTGAAGGTATCATCAGAGTTTGTGGAGTAAGTCAGTTGTTGTCAAAAAGTCAATGAGAGTCCGGATGAAAGGTGGGTTCCATCAGTGAGAAGGGAAGGTAAAGAGAGAGCAGCGGAGCGAAGACGACGGAGGTAAATTCTGCGTGCTCCTTTTTCTTATAATAATATATGTTAAGGCTAATATTAATGCTAATATGTTTTGTTAGTCTATATTAAGTGTTTTCATGTAGTGGGAAACTACTAGTTAGAGCGCCAGTTACTAGTTCAGGTACTGATGTCTCCCTCGGTCATGTGACCAACCTGACGTCAGCTTACCACTCAGTGGTACTGTCAGTAGGTTCACAACCCTTGCTCTGAGTAGGCACACCACCCTTGCTCTGAGTAGGTTCACCACCCTTGCTCGGAGTAGATTCACCACCCTTGCTCGGAGTAGGTTCACCACACTTGCTCTGAGTAGCTTCACCACACTCACTCAGACTAGCACTCTCACTTCTAGTCTGATCTCTGATTCCTAAGAGTTCACTGATCATATTACCTAAAATCCTATCTTAACAACAGATTGATTGCCTAACTCTACTACTGGGAATGTTTTCCCAGTAAACTCTTGTGTCATAATAATAGCTGTGTATATATGTAATAGTATCCTTTATGTGTAAAGGAAAAAGCAATTTTATTGCTCTATTTTAATTAAGATATAGTTCATAGATATATGAAGATCTTATGTAAGTTTTTATTGTTATTAAAGACAGATTTTATTTGAGTTTTGGCCATCCTACAGAAAGAAGGTTAACAATGAAAGTGCTTAAAACTGCTATATTTGCAGCACTAAAACCTTGTTGCTATGGAGCTACCCCTAGACAATGGCCAACCTACCAACTGATACCCCATCAAGTATCAGTAACCCAATATTAAACACTCCATATCGTAATAAATGGGGGCCTGTCCAGGATCTTGATCTATAATCCACCCAATAAATGGGCACCCTGCATCCGGGAATCTGATCCAAGGAAAAGGATCAATGCGGTATGTTACCACAACAAATTGAAGTTCCTTCTTTCTGATTAAAATGGATGTCCTA